TGGGTCCCGGGTGCCAGAGGGAAGCTGGTGCCGGCAGCTGGGGGAAGAAAGGCCTATTCTTGCATGAATTTCGCGCATCAGGCCTCTAGTCCTATATAGTAAAAGCCTAATATGCGAATTGTCCCCTTTACCAAGAGTTCAACAGCTCGCTATGACATATGCTGACCACTGGGGGCTGGGGCATGGAACATGGCGGGCATCTGTGATGCAGCGCTGGCAGCAGGTGACAATGGAGGCACTGCTGGCCCTGATGAGTGTGGGACCATGGCGGGATGGTGGAGTAGGTGAGCGGGTGGCGCCAGGCCAAGGCGGATGCGCGCAGGGCCCAATCACCCCACAGTGGCGGCGGTGACTCCCAGGCGCTGAGGGAGCTGGGAGCGGGGGGTGGGGGGGCGTTTGGGGTGTTGGGGGCCCAAGTGCTTCCCAGGGCCCAGAGATCAGCTGGGACCTGTCCTTCCACACCAGATGCTCACGCTTCGATAGCTGGCCAGGCCTAGGGACCATACCCATGCACGAATTTCATGCACCGGGCCTCTAGTTTAGAAAATAAAACCCCACCCTGGCACTGGACACTCCAGCTCAGAGACTGCCCTCTACACATGGGCTTTCTTTATTGGACTGGCTTCATGGGGCACCCAGAACAGAAACAGGGATGTGACATCAGCAATAACAGCAAACAGCGGACATGTTGCCAAGACACAAGGCCCGGGTAATAAAGGCCACCCTGGGGGAGGAGCCTCCAGGCCAGCCCCCTCCCTCGCCTCCCCCACCACCACCGTGTGCCACGCTCGCTGCTCCCAGGTATAACCATCTGCCGTCCCTGTCCCTGCCTGCTGCTCTCTCATGGGCTGCGGGAGCTCCTGTTGCTTTCCCCTCCCTTGTCTGCTGTGCTGGCCCGCGGATGGGTCGGCTGCCTCCTGCCAGCCCGCCTGCAGCCCGGACTGCTGCCAGCCCGCCATGTGCGAGACCTCCTCTGGGGTCACCGTGGCCTGCCTACCTGTCTTCTGCTGCACCCCTGTTTGCTGCTGATGCTGTGGCCGGCACACCAGCCTCTCCCTGGTCAGACAGCCAAGCTGTGCCCTGCAGGGGAACACCCTTTCCAGGCACCATCACTGGTCTCTGATTAATGACACGGTCTTTGCATGGCTCCTACTGGATGACTGAGCCAGGAACCACCTGATGGCTGGTTAAGACGCTGACTAATCTGGCATTCTCTCCTTGGATATCGCCGTTAGCACCCTCCCCTGGGGCGAGAAGGGGTAGTGCATCCTCCAGAAAGAGGGTCTGGGATGAAGGGCTGGGCTGGCCCGTCCTCCTGAGGATGGTGAGTGTAGCCAAATCTGGTGCCCACCTCTGTCCTTCCTGCAGGCGGCTGGCATGCCTCTGCCCTGGGCCACACCTGTGAAAGAGCACTCAGGGGCAGGGCCGCCGCCGGGAGACGGACACTGAGACAGCACAGGGTGTGGTGACAGCCCAGCCATGACCCTCTCCACTCCCCAGCAGCTCACTTCTCCCACGGACCAGCTCTAGGCACCTCCCTGAGCAGCATGCTGGTATGCTGGCCTCTGCCATCGGCTGGCTGGGGATGCCATGGTTCCCTAAACAATAAAGAGCAGGACTCCAGGCCCTCCTGTCTGACCACGTTTCCCACGCACCTCCGCACCGGCCCAGGGCGGACAGCCGTGAGCTGGGACGGCAGAGCCCAGCCCAGTCCAGTGGGGGGCGAGGTGGCTCTCAGTGACCACACCGGTCAGGGTGAACGTTCAGCTGAAGCAGAACAGAGTAGCCCGGCTTCCTGCATGGTCTGTCATCCTGGCCTTCTCTCAGCCTGTGGTCTAGCAGTGGTGTCTCGCACACTGTTGGACTCACAGCCTTCTCCTTCGCCTTTCCCTCATGGAGGCTGGCATCTGCCTCGCCAGGGGCTCAGTGCTGTGCTGTCAGGTGGAGCTGGGTGTGAATTGCAGCTCTGCCATCTCCATAGCCACCTGGGGCACCGTCTGCCTCTCTGTGACCTCAGTGTCCCCACCTGACACAGCTAAGTGTGTCCGGAACAAGGACACGTTACCCGTGCTTGGCTCAGGAGCTTGTCATGTTCAGTCGGACACCATTTATAGATCCTGGCACGCGTTTTCTAGAGCCATGCACACCTTCAATCTGAGCTTTTCAGAGTTAACATACATCATGCAAGAACCTCACGTGTGAGCCCACAACCCCAAACACAAAACACATGAGAACATGTACGCACACAGGCCAAGGGTCATAAGAACAACAGACGTTCCAAGGACTCCTTGAGGTGGGAATCTTGACCACAGAATTGTAAATCGGGTGCTTATGAATAAAAAATAGAATGGGAGCCCTAGCCGGCTTGGCTCAGTGGATAGAGCGTCAGCCTGCGGACTGAAGGGCCCCAGGTTCGATTCCGACCAAGGGCACATGCCTGGGCTGTAGGCTCAGTCTCCAGTGGGGTGCGTGCAGGAGACAGCCAGTCAATGATTCTCTCTCATCATTGATGTTTCTATCTCTCTCTCCTTCTCTCTTCCTCTCTGAAACCAATAAAGAAATATTAAAAAAAAAATAGAACGGGAAACATAAGAAAGGGACAAGATACCCTCTAGAACAGTATTCTCAACCTGTGGGTTGCGACCCCTTTGGCGGTCGAACAACCCTTTCACAGGGGTCGCCTAAGACCATCCTGCATATCAGATGTTTACATTACGATTCATAACAGTAGCAACATTACAGTTATGAAGTAGCAACGAAAATCATTTTATGGTTGGGTCACAACATGAGGAACTGTATTGAAAGGGCCAGAAGGTTGAGAACCACTGCTCTAGAAAGATATATTGGAGAGAATCCAATACAACTTCTAAACGTAAAATATGTAAAGTCATTGAAATAAAGCCCACTGCCTGGGTGAGATGGACGATTAGACAGGCTGCATGGAGTTTGCATGAATTAGAATGCTGACCTGGAAAATTATACAAAAACAAGGTATTTTTTAAAAATTAAAAAGTGGCCAAGAGACTTGGAAGATAGAAAAGGTTCACTATTCAATTAATCGACATCCCAGAGGAACAGGCCAGGGAGACCCGGGGAAAGGCAGCATTCGGGGACGTAGATTGTTTCCCGGGAATGAGAAAAACACGTACCTCTGAGTCACAAAGCGCAACACACATGAGAATAAAGAGAAATGCCAAGGTCCCTGCAGTGGAAACCAAAACACTCACGGGAGAGGACGTGTTGAGAGGCACCAGAGAAAGGAACCAGAATTACCATATGACCCAGAAATTCCTCTCCCAAGTTAATACACACAAGAACTGAAAAAGGGGACTCAACTCTTCCTGCAACCTTACTCTCAGTAGCCAAGAAGTGCAAACGACCCAGTGTCCATCACGGAGGAATGGATAAACACGACCGGGATGTCCACACAGTGGAATATAATTCAACCATGAAAATACAAGAATGTCTGGTTCATGCTACAACACACATGGACCATGAGGACATTATGCTAAGGCCACACTCCAGGGGCCTGGCCCCAACTTGGCTCAGAATCCCTTAGGGTGCCAGGGCCCCCACATCTGAGACCCCTTTCAGCTCCAAGTCCCCGGCCCCCAAGGCGTGCCAGCTCATTGGTTTATAAGAACCAAATGTGCAACCGGCAGGACGTCTGCAGCCAGTTGTTAAACCACTATTGGCCTGAAGTCAGCCCCCGCGGGAATATCCATGCCACCGTCACTGGCCACCCTGCCAGTTCACTTCAGAGGGGCCAGTCCACTCGTCAGCCCCTGCTTCTCCCACTGCCTGTGGGCATCAGGCTCCCTCTGACCCTGGGCACCGCCAAGCAGCCCCCCTGACTCTCAGCCCCGTCCTAGCCATGGGCCGCAGCGTTCTCAACACAGAAGGCTCTAGAATGTCTTTGTTCTTTTTATTTTATTTTTCGATTACAGTTGACAAAAATGTCTCTGTTCTCAACTTTACAAACCACTTGCCTCCCGAAAGGAAACCTCCCAGCCTCCTAGACACCCCCGCTGGGTGGTGGCTTCCCCTCACCGCCATATTGTCCACATTCCTCCCTGCAGGTAAATTAATGCTCATTTCCTCAAACTCCATTGAAGAGGCTCCTTTCTCAGAGCTGGCCCCTGCTCTCCGGGCACCCGCGGTACCTTTCCACATACACCTCACACCGCAGCTCTAATCCAGCTTCTCCCGCCCCCACCCCTCCCACAGAATCCAGACTTCTGGTGGCTTTCCCTGTCTCTCTGTTCTCTGGGGAGCGGAGTTTATAGTTAAGGACACAGGCCGCTGGGTTCCGACCCAGGCTCTTCTACTTGCTAGTGTGGCTTTCGTGCAAGGTATTAGCTGTGCCTCAGTTTCCCCATTTGTAAAGTGGAAATAACAACAGCTCCTACCTCACAAGGCTGTTGTGAGGGTTGTGGAGTTAATATTTATGAAGTTGCTCAGAATAGATGCTGGCATAGCCAGAGCTATTATTGGAGTGTTTGCTAATACAATAAAAGTCAACACAGCTCCCAAACCATTCATTGCTGTGGATGCAGGAGAGAATTACACCCCTAAATAAACAGGATATAAAAAAAGAACAAAACATGCTTATGATTCAACTGAGCATTGAGAAATAGGAGAAATAATAGTAAGAAGCCCCAGAAAGCTGCTCAGAGGGGGGCTGTGAGGAACACCTGGCCCTCCTGTGTCCATGCCCAGGTCGGCCCCAGTGGGGAGGCCTCCCCTGCATCCCAGCTCTGTGGGCCCCTGGCCGCCAACCTCTCAGGGGTTTAATGAGCTGAGCAGTCATGGGTCTATGACAAGCGTCCTCAGGGACCTGCTCCAGCAACAAGGAAGCACAGCTCTTCTGTGCCCTCGTGACGGGACAACACACACCGCTGAGCCATATAAAAGCCCGACTACCCTGAGCAGCTCACACAACCTCACAACCACTCCCTCACACTCACACACTCACTCCCTCCTCCAGCCTCTGCCCCACCATGGCCGCATCCACCCTCTCCATCTGCTCCAGCGACCTGAGCTACGACAGCCGCGTCTGCCTGCCCCGTTCCAGTGACTCTTGTACCGACTCCTCCTGGCAGGTGGACGACTGTCCAGAGAGCTGCTGTGAGCCCTCCTGCTGCGCCCCCAGCTGCTGCCAGCCCACCTGCTGTGCCCCCAGCTGCTGCCAGCCCACCTGCTGCGCCCCTAGCTGCTGCCAACCCAGCCCTGGTCCCCACCCAGGCCCTCATCTGTACTCCAGTGAGCTGTGTGTCTAGCCCCTGCTGCCAGGTGACCTGTGGGCCCAGCCCCTGCCAATCAGCCTGTACCAGCTCCTGCACGCCCTCATGCTGCCAGCCGTCTAGCTGCCAGCCCTTCTGCTGCACCTCTTCCCCCTGCCAGCCGGCCTGCTCTGTGCCCGCCTGCTGCACACCCGTCTGCTGCAAGCCCCTGTGCTGTGTGCCCGTCTGCTCTGGGGCCACCCCCTGCCCAGCCCCCTCATGCTGCCAGCCCACCTGCTGCCTCTCATCCTGCTGCAGACCCTCCTCTTGCATGTCTGTCATCTGCCGCCCTTAGGAACTCCTGAGGTGCATGGACAGCCCTTCGTCCTCTCAGCCCAGGAGGATGGCCCAGGCCCACTGCCAACTCCGCCTGGGACCCCAGGGCTCAGGAGGGGGGCCCTGTCCACAGTGCAAGCCTCAGTGGTCGCACCGCCTCAGAAGCTGCTTGGAAAACCTAATAAACTCACCTGCATTTAACCTTGATGGCACTTGGCTCTCTTTTGGCCATTTCTGTTCGAATTGCCGGCCAGTCCCCACAGAGGCCGGGCTCCTGCCCTCACTGCCCTGCCAGACCCCAGCTGCAGGCGCCGTACTCTGTCCCTGCCTGTGCTGGCCTGGCCCCTGGCTCCCATCCCGCAGGACCTGGGCCAGGCCAGGAATGGTGGCCTCGGTGTGGGCAGCCCCCTTCCCAGGATCCCATCCGGCAGTCAGTCCTCAGGCACTTGGCAGTGGCCAGTCCTGGGCATCTCCCTCAGAAGCCCCCTTAGAGGGAGGCTCCCTGCAGAAGGGCCTGGCAAGACATGGGGTTCAGTGTCTCCCCCATGGAGATGCAGCAGCCACTCTGCCAAGCCTGGAGGATTGGGGTTAGGCAAGACTGTGACCTGCCTCCCAAGCCCTCCAGCCCCACCTTCCTCCTCTCGCTGCGGAACCTGCCCCAGCATTCTGCTGGGATCACACAGTTCCCGAAGTCTCCTCCCACATAACAATGATAAATAAAGCCCCAGCTGTCCTCCCTCCCGATCGGTGATACCTGCACCCCTGCAGAGGGCTGCCCCATTTCTCCCCTACTCACCCCTGCACCACACTCTCCTCCCTTCTCCCGGGGCCCTGTCCCTGCTTAGCCCTCAGCCCCGGGAGGTGTCCCTCCTGCCCCTTCACTCTCTGCCGGTCCTGTGCCCATCACCCGCCCACTTCCCTAGGGTATGGGGACTTTGGGGACTTGGCTCTTTCTCCTGACACACCCCCAGGGCCTCTCCCAGACTCAGGGCACTTACACCTTCAGACGGGAACTTCCTCCACACTCACCTCTGCCAGTCCACCTACCCCTGCCTCAGAGGGGGCCCCTGCCCAGCCCTCGGGACTCTGCCCCCACTCCCCGCCCCTCACACACCATCCGGTCCTGCCACTGAGCCTGAGGTACTTCCCGTTGGTCTTTGTTCCCCTGCTTGCTGGACGACTCTGGGCAGCCCAGACAGGCCGGGTCCCAGCTCTCAGCGCCCCAAGGCTGCCGCTGCCAGGCTCTGGGGTGAGACCTCCCCGGCAGAGCCGGTGTTTGGGGGCTCCCAGGGGCACGTGCATTTTGGGAAGAAAATGAGCCTTTGTCCAGTAGGAGATGCCGATCTGGGAGAAATGATGGCGAATCTAAAATCCATGTGGCCGATGGAAGCACAGGAAGGCCAGGGGCCTTGCGAAGCACCCAGTCAGCACCAAGCACTGAATGTGTCTAAACCCCCACGGCCCTCGCCGGTTTGGCTCGGTGGATAGAGCATCGGCCTGTGGATTGAATAGTCCCGGGTTCCATTCCGGTCAAAGGCACACACCTCGGTGGCAGGTTCAATCCCCGCCCTGGTCAGGTGCGTGCAGGAGGCAACCAATCAATGTGTCTCTCTCACATCAATGCTTCTCTCTATCTTTCCCCCTCTCTTCCACTCTCCCTAAAAAACAAAAATCAATGGATAAATATCCTCGGGTGAAGATTAACATAAATAAATAAATAAATCACACACAATGGCCTGGGTACACTGGGGCCCCATCTTGTTGAAGAGGAAGTGGGGGCCCACAGTGACCTGCCAAGGTCAGACACACCAAATCAGGCAGTGAGAGTGAGGGGTGGGTGGAGCAGGAGAGAGAGACCATGTGGGGCAGGTGAGACATGGAGTGTTTGCAAAGAGTGCTGCCGTGGGCCAAGAACGTCCCCAAAGACAGCCTGGTCCTAACTCCACACCTGTGGGTGTCACCTCTGAGGAAGGACTCTGCAGGCTGACCAGAGGCTGCTGGTTAAGTTAAGAATCTCGAGATGGGAGACAGTCCTGGGTCAGCCAGTTTGGCCCCTGGGGCATCACACGTGCGCTTCACAGGGAGAGAGACTGCACTTCCGTCTCACACAGACAAGGAGGCAGACGCAGAACCAGAGGCAGAGCTCGGAGCGCCGGCATCACGGCCAGATATGCCCGGAGCTTCAGCAGCTGGAAGCGGCGGGAAAGACACCCCTGGAGCCTCCTGGTGGTGGCGGGAGGGCTGCGACACCTGGGGGTCTCAGCTCAGGAAACGGCACAGGTGGTCTCCAGGGTCTGAGAGGACCTTTATCGGTCGGTTTAAACCATCAAGTCTATGGTCAATTGTTACAGCCCCAGGACACAAAATCGAATGTACAGTCAGCCTCGCCGAGCGTTGTGGAGAGGTTCTGCAGTTTTAAGTGAAATGACAAATAACAAAGTCAACTTAACCACAGGCACTGAGACAAACAAGAATTAAGTTCCCACGGCATCTCATCAACGTTAGAATGAGAAATATCATTGCTGGAGGACCTGCTGTATATGACAAATTTTGCATGATACATATAGCTTTCATGCTTTCTTTTTTAAAAAAATATATTTTTACTGATTTTTTACAGAAAGGAAGGGCGAGGGATAGAGAGTTAGAAACATCGATGAGAGAGAAACATTGATCAGCTGCCTCCTGCACACCCCCTACTGGGGATGTGCCCGCAACCAAGGTACATGCCCTTGACTGGAATCGAACCTGCAACCCTTCAGTCAGCAGGCCGACGCTCTATCCACTGAGCCAACCCGGTCAGGGCTAGCTTTCATACTTTCTAAGGATTCTGGTTAAAATGTCATTGAGCCCAGCCGAAACCGGTTTGGCTCAGTGGATAGAGCGTCGGCTTGCGGACTGAAGGGTCCCGGGTTCGATTCTGGTCAGGGGCATGTACCTGGGTTGCGGGCACATCCCCAGTGGGAGATGTGCAGGAGGCGGCTGATCGATGTTCCTCTCTCATTGATGTTTCTGGCTCTCTGTCTCTCTCCCTTCCTCTCTGTGAAAAATCAATAAAATATATTTTTTAAAAAAATAAAAATAAAATGTCATTGAGCGCAGCTGGGTGGCTCAGTGGTTGAGCAGAAATCTATGAACCAGGAGGTCACGATTCAACTCCCGGTTAGAGCACATACGCAGGTTGTGGGCTCAGTCCTCAGTAGGGGGCGTGCAGGAAGCAGCCAATCAATGATTCTCTCTCATCAGTGATGTTTCTATCTCTCTCTCCCTCTCCCTTCCTACATGTGTCTTGACCGCCCTGCCCTTGCCCACAGCATAACCCCGCCAGCCTGAGCCACAGCTAGAGGAGGAACAGCACAAAGCCACTCATCTCCAAGCTGCACCTGTCTATCAGGCCACAACCCGAGGCAGGGACAGCTGGCGCCAACCACAGGCAGAACTGGCCACAACCCTCCCCGTCTCTCCATCATCTACAAGAACTCGGTGACAATGCAAGAGAAAGGGGACCACATGCCCCAGAGACAGGGACTCCCATGAGGAGCCATTCCTGGGACCCAGAATCCAAGATACCCTCCCCCATCACCAGGTCCCTGTGATGAGCACTCAGCAGCCCACCCTCTGTCCACCTGCCTCAGCTCTACCCAACCTGGTCTCTCAGGCCCACTCAGCAGGCTTGGTCAGGACTGGCCACCCAACCTCAAGCACAGGCCGGACTTTTACGAGCTGGCCAGCATCTCCTAAGAAAATAAACCAGCCCTAATGAGGGTTCCCCAGGAACAGGCTCCAAACAGCAACAAGGAAGGGAACGCGTGGTGAGCTTCCTGCTGGGGCAACACACACACAGAGGAGGGTATAAAAGCTGACAGCCCTGGGCACCTCACACACTCACACTCACACTCACACACCTGCACCCTCCTCCCAGCTCGCCTCCAGCCCCACCGCCCCACCATGGCCACATCTGCCCTGTCCGTCTGCTCTAGCAACCTGAGCTATGGCAACCGCGCCTGCCTGCCTGGTTCTGGTGACTCTTGCACAGATTCCTCCTGGCAGGTGGACGACTGTCCAGAGAGCTGCTGTGAGCCCTCCTGCTGCGCCCCCAGCTGCTGCCAGCCCACCTGCTGTGCCCCCAGCTGCTGCCAACCCACCTGCTGTGTCCCCAGCTGCTGCCAGCCCGCCTGCTGTGTCCCCAGCTGCTGCCAGCCCACCTGCTGTGTCCCTACCTGCTGCCAGTCTACCTGCTGTATCCCCAGCTGCTGTGCCCCAACCCCCTGCCTGACCCTTGTCTGCACCCCAGTG